GATATTATATATTTTGCAGCACAAGAGAGTAAAAACTCGATAATTGATATAATAAAAGATAGTTGAGACTTGAGAGAGTTGTAATCTTGGAAGAGATTGATATGAAAAAAAAATTTTGGGGGAAGGGGGTATTTATAGTAAAAAAATGGGGAAAAAAAAAAGAAAAAAAAAGTTCTGTGACCGTTCAGTGACCGTTCTGATCACTGAACAAAAGTTCAGTAACCAGAACTGCCACTGAAGATAGGCTCGTCTACACGGTGAGCCGAACGGGCGAGGCCCGCTTGGCTTGTGCTCGGGCTCGTGATTTCACGAGCCCGAGCCGCCCACGAGCCCATTTTTCACGAGCCGAGCCGGCTCGGCCCAATTGACATCCCTATACGTGACAAACTAAATCGTTAATTTGTGACCAAATGATACAGATTTGTGACTTAAATATATTTAATTAATAAATTAATTAAATCATAAATAAATTTTAATAAAAATCTGATTTTTAAATTTTGAAACTTGTTTTCTTAATTATGAAAGGTGTGATACTTAAAATCTTACTTATGAAATTTTCACATATGTAAAATAACCAATTAGGGCCAGAAAGCAATTTAAATTTTAGGCCCACTGAAATTAAAATCGCAAGCCCAACTTAAGGCCCAAAACCCAAGTAAATTAGCTGCAACATTTCCTACTTTCTTCCTTGCCTGTAGGCTGTTGACCTTGGGCAGAGAATCAAAAACCCTAAACATAAAACCCCTTAAACGAAAACCAAAATCTTCTTCTTCTTCTTCTTTTATTTGTCGGTACAATTGCAATATAAGCTCTGAATTAACTCAATATGGCGGGTAAGAATCTGAGAAAGAGGAAACCATCTTCTCAGCAAAACAAGGACAACAATAAGAAGCGGTTCTCCTCCATTAGCCATGACCCATTTTTCCACAACAGCGATTCAAAACGGCGGAATAAATTTGATGACGAAGACATTAATAGCAGCGATGATGAAGGAGAGGAATTTGATTCCGAAGGGGAAAAAGAAGCAGTAGCGGTGGAGGAGGATAATGAAGAAGAGATTACAGAGGAGACGCCTGCGGAGAAAAAGAAGCGATTAGCTGAGGCATTCTTGGACAGGATGAGGGCGAGGGAGAAGAGAGAAGAAGAAGATGAGGAGTTAGAGGATGAAGGAGCGAGGAGAGAAAGAGAGGGGGAGAGGGATTCGCTTATTGCCAAAATTTTGCAGCAGGAGCAGCTTGAGGAGAGCGGCCGGATGCGCAGAGCCATCGCTTCCAGGTGTGTGTGCCTGTGGATTGTTACTTTTATCCTTCTTGTATACAAGTCTGGTCGAGTTGATGTAAATGCACGATCTTTCAAGCTTTTGGTATTATAGAGTCTGATGCTAGAGTGCTTAGGACGTTACTTATGAATAGTAGAAGTATGAGTTTTGGTAATTTATGCCTTTGCTCTGATTGGAGGGACTCATTTCTTTGGCTTCCTGTATCTTGTTTCTTCTTATTTTCTTTCCTTTGGTGTGAGGTTGGGAGTAGGGGGCTTCAAAAAAGAGCCAATACTATCTTTTGTTAATATATGCTCGAAATGGGTTGTCATGACTTTTCATTCACCTAGTATGAACCCATTCGCTCTTATTTGCCATTTTTTGTGGGTTGGATAGTGCGGGTTGGGTGGACGAACATGCTTGAGCTGGTATTATATAAACTGTTCTAGTGACATTTCCTAGCTGCATTAGTAGTTGAATGTTTTTGAGTAATTTAATTTGGATTTTTGGCTTGTAAGAAATGTGTTGCTTGGTTAATGAGGTTTTCTGTGATGGTTGATGCATTTATGGGGCAATGATGGTTTTTTCTAGGATAGTACAGGGTAAGGTCTAGAAGTAAAGTGTTTCTCCCAACACTAGGGTTATTGCTACAGAGGGAGCAACACCGCTAGAATTCTATAAAGTCAAATATTCTGTGGTTCATCTCGATGAATTGATAAATGTGATTTGCATTTGTATTAGTTGTCTCTGGAGCTGTTTATTTTGATGCTCTTAAGCTTGTGTGATGCTTCCTTTTCTGCTCACACTCTTCTATTTGCATGCTCAAAAAAACAAAATGTGTGTGGCAGTTTTTGTGAATTTAGCATGCATCTCATTTAATGACACATCTACCTGTTGATATTGAAATGTATTGTAATCTTTAGGGTTCAAAAACCAGAAACAACGGAAGGATTTCGATTTTTAGTGAAACACAGGCATCCAGTTACTGCAGTAGCTCTATCAGAGGATGATACCAGAGGATTTTCAGCTTCCAAGGATGGTACCATTTTTCATTGGGATGTCAATAGTGGGAAGACTGAAAAGTATTTGTGGCCTAGTGATGAAGTGCTGAAATCTCATGGTGCCAAGGACCCGCAAGGTAGAGCTACAAAACACAGTAAGCATGTTCTAGCATTGGCTGTTAGTTCTGATGGTCGATATTTGGCAAGTGGTGGACTAGATCGGCATGTTCATTTGTGGGATATCCGTACTCGGCAGCATGTTCAGGTGCTTCTAACGAACTATTAGTAATTAGAGATACATGTGGAAGTTTCCAATGATTGCTGGTCAAATTGGTATCTGCATATTATATGGATCTCTTGTTAAAATTCTGGATACTTACTTTAAAATACAATAATTCTGGTGCATTCCCAGCTCCTAATGTGAAATTACTTCTTCTATCTGCATTAGCTACTAAGTGGCGTACTTCTATAAAATTAAGAATTACATGGAAGTGTTCACTTATTTTTGAATACTACTGGTTTAACCAATCATGTATTCCTACCTGATGCATGTAATTTGTGTATTTTCTGTATAGCTCTGAATGTCAATATTTTGGGGAAGCATGTACTTTATTTTTTGGTAAGCCATTTTAATTCACCTTTCGCATGACTTGCAGGCGTTTCCAGGGCATAAAGGACCTGTGTCATGCTTAACATTTAGGCAAGGAACTTCAGAACTTTTTTCTGGTTCATTTGATCGATCTGTCAAAATCTGGAATGCAGAAGATAGAACTTACATAAATACGTTATTTGGTCACCAGAGTGAAGTTTTAACAATTGACAGCTTGAGAAAAGAACGGGTATTGACCGTTGGACGTGACCGGACCATGCATTTGTGGAAGGTAATTCACAACATTTTCCCAAAGGGGTTTGCAATCACAATTGTAGTCCAAATTGCGTCGCACATGGTACAATTTTGAGGGTGAGTCTACAGTAGAGCTAGAAACTAACGAAACTACGTTATTTGGTCACCAGAGTGAAGTTTTAACAATTGACAGCTTGAGAAAAGAACGGGTATTGACCGTTGGACGTGACCGGACAATGCATTTGTGGAAGGTAATTCACAACATTTTCCCAAAGGGGTTTGCAATCACAATTGTAGTCCAAATTGCGTCGCACATGGTACAATTTTGAGGGTGAGTCTACAGTAGAGCTAGAAACTAACGAAACACAATAAACCTACAATAAACCATAAAAGAGTAGATGAGCTTTAATATCAGTTTCCCTCCTCCCCAGCGGTTTGATGTTGAAATTGTGAAGTAGTATTTGAAAGCGAGCATACTCTGAAAAGGAGAAATATAAGAAAAAACAGCTAACTAGACACAATGCCAATCAAATTAGGAAGTGTCTAGGCAAAGATGAATATTTTGTGGTTGATGGATATTATGCAATGAGGTTTTGAGTGTGAAAAGATTCTTATGAAGGGAAGGGGAGTATCAGGGAGATAATAAAGGTGATATTCAAGATTGGACAAACTACAGAGATATTCAGTTCTCTAGGGGGTTGTTGAGTATAATTTGAAATGCAACTCAATGGTCTTGGAAAACTAGTTTAGTTTTGTGTTACGGAGACCTACTACAGGTATTACTTACATAAAAGAAGTAAGCCTTCTATACATTATTTATTTATTAAAAAAAAGGAAAAGGGCATTTTATAAGATATTTATGGAGATGCTTTGGCATGTTGTAGATAGAGATTTCTATTAGATAGCATTAATGATATTTATGAGGGACTGGTTGTGAATATGAGATCTAACGAGGTAATATTGGGAGATTTCCTGTTAAAATAGGCTCGTATCAAGATTCCTGTGAAATTCTTACAATTTTGCTTAATTTATAGATGAGCTTGTTAGACATATCCAAACAAAGGTTCCTTATTGTACATTATTTGATAACGATCCATTTTTAGTTTATGATATTAGGAAGGGGTAATTCACAACTTATAACTCTTGAGGATTGTAGGAGTTTTAAGTCAAGTACAATTGAAGTGGAATTGATGAAATGTTATTTAAAATGATGTGCGTTCGTATTGTTCTGTAAACAATTATTCTAGATATCTAGGCTTGATTATTTATAAGCAACAAGGAAATGGAAATGATGTAAGTTACAGGATTAGAGTGATGGGATGAAGCAGTGTATGTATCGTATGTGATCTAATTAATGCTACCATTCAAAGGGGAAATTCTATAGACTGCCTACCAGGCCAACTGTTCTTTACGGTACTGGTTTTTTGGAGTATTAACCAAACACAATAAAATTTTGAAGCACATCTTGCTTTAGATGCTTAGACCTAAAGAAGTTATTGTTGGTAAGAGTGACGCAGAAGAATAAATAAGAAGGAAATTTGACTTTATTGACCTGGATGAGGTGGCCCATGGTATATCTCGAGCTTTTTGAAAAGGTAGTCTAAAAGAACGTCCAAGAAGGATTCATGTGGCTTATCCCAAGTTTACAGCCCTTCTATATTGAAAAAGTATCAAGCTAATATCTTGATAATTTGTGTTATATACTCACCTGTATAATCTTCCTACATGACAATTAGTTTCCTTTTATTTTCTTATTGAAAAAAGAAGAAGAGCCGTGAACGTTTGTGAGAAACAAGTGAATAAAAGACCAAGTTATGGCCTATGATGTCTCTGACTCTCTAAGATTGGTGAACTTTCATATGGTTGAACCATAATCTTTGTATTCCAAATAGGTACCAGAAGAATCTCAGCTGGTATTTCGAGCTCCTGCATCATCCCTGGAATGCTGCTGCTTCATTAGCAATGATGAATTCTTATCGGGTTCTGATGATGGAAGTATTGAACATTGGAACATATTACGTAAGAAGCCTGTCCATATTATAAGAAATGCACATGCGTCGTTGACTCCGATCAATTTTGAACAAAGACATAATGGCTTATCAAATGGCCACATAGGTATTTGATCTTCTGGCTTCTTGTCTGTTGACAACTGGAGTTCCTAGTCTTTATCTGTAGACATGGATCACTCGACAAATTTGCTTATGCATAGTTATTGATGCAGTATTTCCTGTATTTGTTTGCAGAAAATGATGCCCAAGATTCTGAAAAACCTTGTTCTACAGCTCTTTCCTGGGTCAGTTCAGTGGCTGTATGTAGAAGCAGCGATCTTGCTGCTTCTGGAGCCGGAAATGGTTCTATACGTCTTTGGAAGATTGAGAGTGAATCCAAAGGCATTTGTCCTCTGTTTGAGCTCCCCCTGGTAAGGATATATGGTTTCTCCTGGGTGACTTAAATGTAATCATTATAGCATAAGTCACTTCTACTTCGTTGTCTTTTTTAAATTTCTTCACTATCAAGTCTTTAGTTAGGCTCTCTAAATATGGTGTGTTGAAAGTAGCCTATTGCAGGAGAGATTTTTTCATGAATCCATAAGGGCTTTTACTTTATAGGTGGCATAGAAGACATCAAATATGATAATTTTTTCATACATGAGATTAGATTTGACTCGTGACTGCACCAAAATGAAGTGAAAAATGTGCTGAAGGACATCAAACTTTCACAGGTTGTATTGTAAAACCTAAATAAGTCAAAAGAGGTCCAGGTATAAATAGGCTCCTTTTCTTCTTCTTCTTCTTCATGTTGTACTCGAACTTTTCCTAATTAGATTTGGTAGGTAGTTCCTTATTTGCCAAGATTGGTTTTTGCTATGATGCACCGATACGAACACGTGTCCAACACGATAGTGACACGAGAAGTTGATTAAATCATTTAAAATTCTTCATTTATATAGTATACATATAGTTTTATGCTTGTTATTTATTTTTCTTGTTGAAATCTTTTAAATATAAGTACCTATTGTTATTTACTAATAACTTTGAGTTAAAGCTATAAATATTTCTAATAAAAAAAGAAAAATGATTATGGTAGAGTGTCCGAAGAGTGTCGTGTGTTGAACACGTACACGCTACCCTAATTAGTGCTATAGAGGTTTTTTTGTATCTCATGTGAATTGGAATGTTATGTAGGTTGGATTTGTGAACTCTTTATCTTTTGCGAAATCTGGAAGGTTCCTTATTGCTGGTGTTGGGCAGGTGAAGTTTTCCTCCCCTTTCAAATTTCAAAAATTTACCTGTTAATCTGAATCTTTACTAGTAGAATGTAGAACATATTTGCTTATATATGGTCTGCACTTCTTAAATAAATTAATCGATACTATATTTCTTGCATGTTACTTCTGATTTTTATTAGATGTTTTTATAAGATAAACAGTATGTCATGCTGTCATTAAAGAAGCATTATCTAACATTGTTGAGATAATTAAACCTCTGCAAAAATAAATCTTCGTATTGAGCCTTTGAAATGGTTCCTAAAGTTGGGCAAGAGAGACCTCTCTACCTTCCATCGAGACTAAGTAGGACCATGGACACTTGTCAGAGGAATCTGATGCACTTGCAATTGCAGTGCCAGCTAGGTTTACTGAGGAGGTTATTTGGTTTGTGTTTCAATTGGGAGGGAAAATTAGTTGGACTGCTGAAAAATTAGTTTAATCAGAACAACACAATCATTTGTTATAATAATAGCTTGGTTTAGAGTGAGAAATTTATTGCTTAGATTCATACATAGATACAACACATATGGCCCTTGTTTGAGCCCCATTTTGAGAGGAAAAATGAATTTTTGAATAGTGTATTGATGAGAAATGTGTGGTTAAAAAATAAGGAAATGTTTTGGATTTGCGTGTAATATTATTTTATTGAAAAATGGGTGGTTGAAATGATGTTAAAACACTGTAGAAGAATTCATTTTTTCCAAATAATGGGGATCAAACAAGGGCATGAATTCCATTGTCTTTGAGATGGCATGATATATGAAAGATTGATATCAGTTTGGTTTCCGTTTCAAATTTTATTCATTTTTCTTTCAACGAATTGACCACAGAACAGTATTGGCTGGATCTTATATATCAGTATTGACAACCCCCTTCTCCAAATGGTCCTTCAAGAAAGTGGGGGGAGGGGTGTTTCAGGGAATAGCATTATGATGGTGACACCTTAAAGGATGCTGATTGAGTTATAGCATTGTAATTAGAACTGAATTTCCAATGTGGAAAGCCTCACCTTTAAAACATCTGATTTCTTGCTTTTCTCAATTAGTATTGCAGATACTATTTTCATCTTGAAAAGAAATAGTTAATCTTTCCACTTGCTGTATTTTGATCTAATATTGAAGGTTTTTTTGGACAGGAGCCCCGATTAGGAAGGTGGGAACGAAATGCTGCTGCCAGAAATGGAGTTGCATTGCATCGTTTGGAGCTTTCTTGAGACAGCATGTGTTTCTTTTTTCCTTCCGCTAATTATCAATTTTGACTAAAGTGACTCGAAAAGAAGTAAAGGTTCTTGATTGGGGTCGATTTTTTATTTTTTGTAAAAGCTATTTTACTGCACGATCAACCCCAAGTGAATTTTGTCTTAATCAATTTGCGTTAGCTCGCAGTTTGTAAAAACCTGGTAAATGCAGGTTGAGGTTGGCTTGCTTTTTGCTGGTTCAGCTTGGCTCCTTTATACGAATGTTTTCTTCCCATGTTTCAATATTCAATGATGATCAAGGAACAGGCATACATTTGACAGAGCAACTTAGATTGACAGAAGAGTTTGTTTCTAAATTATATTTGAGGATGTAAGGTGAATTTGTTTGAAATAGTTAGTCTTGTTACGGCTAGATTAAAAAAAAATAATAAATAAATAAATAAATAAATAATGTTCTTTTATTTGAATGTATTTTTATCTTTTATTTTCTTATTTAATATTATTTAAAATGACATTAACCTAGGTCATCATCTTCTTCACTCCTGTCTTGTCCCGTCCCCCCCCTTAATTAATACCCATTCGCTCAAAAATTTAAAAATGGTACCTTGAGATTCTTGCAAGAGGCGTTATATAAGCAATGGCACTACTTCAATTTAGGGGGTTTTTGTTTTTTATTTTTGTAAAAATGAGAATGAAAAATATAGTCGTTATTGACTCCACACAAGAAATAAAAGTTCAAATTTGGTGACTTGATGTGATGGATAACAATCATATTTTTCATTTTAATGGAGAAAGAATGAGTAACAAACAGGGGCTTAACTTCTGTCAGGACGGTCATAATTTTGTTTTTATCGAGTAATGTTATTTATGTCTCATGGTTTAAGGATTGATATAGAATGATGATGTAAAAAAGAGAGAAGAAAAAACAAAGAATTCAGTTAAAAGTCAGTTAATATAATTCACATCATCATTAAGTTAATCAATCTGTAAATGATAATAATTACATTATCAATTTGCTCAACATTTATCGAAAAAGTAATGTTAATAACATAAAAGTGGTTCAAAGATGATATAATATTTTGTTGTGGGTTCCTTTCAAACGTGCTCTTACTAAACTCTTGTTTGCCATCCTTTGATAAATTAAATTGTTTGCTACAGTAATATTTTTCACTACACATTCACACAATAAAATATTTTAAACATAAAACAATAAACTTTCATTAAACTTTAACCACACATTCTTCATAAAATACTATTTAAAACTCTATAATTTCTCCCATAATGAGAGACAAAAAAGCTCTTAATAACTGAGTTTTATATTAGTGATAAAAGTGGTTCAAAGATGATATAATATTTTGTTGTGGGTTCCTTTCAAACGTGCTCTTACTAAACTCTTGTTTGCCATCCTTTAATAAATTAAATTATTTATTACAGTAATATTTTTCATCACACATTCACACAATAAAATATTTTAAACACAGAACAATAAACTTTCTTTAAACTTTAACCACACATTCTCCATAAAATACTATTTAAAACTTTATAATTTCTTCCATAATGGGAGGCAAAAAGGCTCTTAATAACTGAGTTTTATATTAGTGAAAAAAAGAAAAAAGAAAAAAAGATACGACTCTTTATAATGGTTGGTACCAACTCATATCATGAACTATTGATAAATAATTGAGTTTTTAGATCGGAAATGCACAATTCCAACTGTTATGACAATTGACAACCGAGCTCCCAGCTCAGCTCTTATAGACCCCTTATAGGATCTCAAATGCAGTCGAGTCAGATTTTTTTATCATTTTTTATTGCATTGGAGCCCACGTGGGGTCGACCCATGTGAGGGGTCTTACAATATTTGCCCAGGGTTTTATTCGACAATTAATTAGCGAACTTAAAGGGCTCTAAGATACGTGAAAAGCCTAACCAATTGACTAATAAGTTAATAATTGAGTGGTGGTTGGGGCAGATAAGCTAGCTATGCAGAGCTTTAAGATGGTGCATAACAAAAGAAGATAGAGAAAAGAAATGAGCTTCATTGCAGTCATAGGGATGGCAATTATAGGGCTATGGGCAGTTTCTCTGAGGCATCAGCTCTTCAGATTTGCTGCCGGGATGCTGGATTTCATTCTTTCCTCCATGGATACTTGAACTAATTAGCAAGGAATATTGTAATTTTACTGATGTTAATTAGCGAACTTAAAGGGCTCTAAGATACGTGAAAAGCCTAACCAATTGACTAATAAGTTAATAATTGAGTGGTGGTTGGGGCAGATAAGCTAGCTATGCAGAGCTTTAAGATGGTGCATAACAAAAGAAGATAGAGAAAAGAAATGAGCTTCATTGCAGTCATAGGGATGGCAATTATAGGGCTATGGGCAGTTTCTCTGAGGCATCAGCTCTTCAGATTTGCTGCCGGGATGCTGGATTTCATTCTTTCCTCCATGGATACTTGAACTAATTAGCAAGGAATATTGTAATTTTACTGATGATGATGATGAAGAAGAAGAAGAAGAGGAGGGATTTTACATGCCTTTATTTGCATTTGAATGAAAGCTAAACTTACTTTTTTAGTTAACATGATTTTCAAAGTTACTATTTCACTGATAAAATTTCATGTTCGCTAGATTATTAATTAACTTTTAAGCACTGATACGTGCAATGGTATAGTAGAATGGTTATTTTAGATATTCCAAAGAAGATTTTCATTTCTTCCGTATTGTTTTGGAGGAAATTTTTTCATTTTCATTTTCATTTCAGCTCTAAATTCAATGATGATGGAAATCGTTAACTTGATACCTATGGTGAAGAGAAGTGATATTATTTCATTGTGGAATTTGTTTCCTTAAGACCATTTCTGACAATGATTTTATTCTAGATGCAACTGTTGTAATTGATGAATGAATCTGAAAATACTATGCCCCAATTATTCTTACCTAAAAAATTGATAAAACTTTAAATTGGAATCAACAATTAATTTTAACCATACATTTAATGAGATCCACACGTTTTATTAAATTTTTCACTGCACATTTCATTAACTTTTATCAAAATATACTAATAATCTAATTTTACTTTTTACTTCAACTAATATGGGCATATTGTGTGTTGTTGCTATTATTATTATTATCACAAAACAATCTCCACCATGCGGTTAGTCATCATCTTCATCTAACCAGTGCTAAGACTTACTACACTGAGGATCATAAGCTCATGTACCTCCAAAAGAAATTAACCACTATCAAGATTTAACAAATTAATATTCTTTAAATTTGTTTATTGTTCAAACTTTGGTTCCTATATGTGCAGATTAGCTTTAGTTTTTCTTTGTTTTTGGGGTTGTAGAGTGATCAAAACATACACCAAATTTAGAGTAACGATTACAAGAAAGCGCAATTTGTTTAGTCGATTGTTCACTTAACTGTAAGTGTATGATATCAAACAAAATAATAAAGTAGATTGATGTCCAAGCATCATTTCCTCATCGACTATTTTCTTACACTCAATTTTTATCGTAAACCTAGCTTCAAATTGAACTAATGTGTTAATCAACTAGTTGTTTGAAGATTGGAATAAAACTAAAATTATAATAACTCTTATCTATCATTATTACATGTGAAGACTTTTAAAAAAGAATTTATGGGTTTATGTAGTTAGGATTTTCGATTTCACCAAGGTGATTTAACATTCACACCTTTTTCTTGCGTGTTAACAATCGAATTAACCAATTTTAACTAGTGATCTCTATCTATTAAAATTAGTCCTATTTACATGCACAAATTTACTATATCTTAATTTAAATTCATACATGTGTAAACTCATTAATTTGCAGAAATTCAATCAAGACTACATAGCTTGTAAGAGTATCTCTGGATCTCTTATCAATACACATATCACTTATTTGGTGATCAAGCAATTGAATTTAGTTAATCACGCAATGAGCAATTAAAATATCATAAAAGAGGACATGAAATCTTTAAATTAACATTAACATTAATAATCAAAGCTACATGAATGTTATTTCTAACAATTAAACAATTAGTTGCTCATAATTGCCAAATCTAACATATAAAAGGGGAAAACATCACCAAATATAATCACCATGAACAAAGATGAACAATTAGTTGCTCATAATTGAGAAACCTAACATATAAAAGGTGAAAACATCATTGAATTTAATCACAATGAACCAAGATGAAAGTGTTGGAAATTGATTGAAGACCAATTTGTACGAACGAGAAATATGGTCCAATATTTTAAGGAAATTGAAATTCAGCGGGTAAGATTGTCACTCGAGCGATGGGTCAGTGAAAAGCGAGCAACATGCTTATTGTTATTGTCGCTCGAGCGACACATGGGCGAAAAGCTAGCGACAATTGGGTTTTAACTTTTCATGGAAAATGTTGAATTTAGGGTATGTCCCTTCATGCTCTATATATAGGACCCCTTGGACGTTTATTTTCATTCCATATAATTTCATATCATTCATTTCACGTTATGTTGCATAAAACACTTGTAGAAATGATTATATCTTGCATCAAAGTCATGTTTATGATAAAGAGGAATCCCGTTCAAGTTCGTTGGTCAAAACCATTTGGAGTGCTCCTATAAATTGACATGGTCATTGTATCTTGGGAAATGACTGTCGAAAAAATCATTAACACCGATGCGGGGCAAATTCATCTTAAGGAGAAAGTGTCCAATACTTGCCTTGGCCAAATTCAATCATTTGCATCTCATATTTCTTCTTTTGATTATGAGTTGATTTCATAAAAATAATTAATCTTATTTACATGATTATTTTGTAAGGTTCGATCTACTTTCGTTTAAAAGTAGACAAGATGAACCCATATCCATGTATTTAGATTCGATAACTATTTATGTTTTGCCTCTCAAATCTATTTCGGTATGTCGAAATTACGTTTAAATTTTGTGAACATAAACGGTATTTTAGTATGCACATTATCGGTGAAATTTCTCAATAGAAAGAAATTCAAACTATTGTTGTTTTTCACCATCCAAATTGAAGTCCGTTCTTGATAAGTGCAGATCTCCAGGCAAATCGATGGTGTTCTTGAGTATCTATGGATCTAGGTATGTGTTTTGCCTCAAGAATGCATCTTCCATGAAAATCATATAAATTATATTTATAGTCCTTTAATTAGGTTGAAAGCTATGCCCCATGATGTCACGAATAAGAGTTTGACTTATTGGGAAAAGCAAAATTTTGCCCATGTTTGGTAGAGTTTATGATCGCATAGCCATCAATGTTCGCGTGCTGGAATTTTAATTTGCTCGTGTAATCGCTTCATAATCG